CATTTTGATTTACAAGGTGGCAAAATTTATTTAAAACTACACATTTTAACTTAAAAGTCCAGAATTTATATAACAGATATTTTACTTACACACATTTCCATCTACATATGCACAAAGCATAAATGTTCAACCTTTACATTTTGGGTTACAAAATTCAATTCACTACCATGGAGTATTGAAGCCAGACTAGTATTTTTTCTAAGTGATGAAAATAAAGTAAAAATATGAAAAAAGTCATGTAATTAAAGTAGGTGCTTACAAGAATAAAATTACTTTAATGAGAAAAGAGACATAATAAGACAATAACAACACTAACACTATAATGTTGAAAATTAGGGGGGGAAGTAGTAATGTAGTTAAAATTAGCTTCTTGTGAAGTTTAACTTTAGTATTGGTTTTGCAAAAGAAATACTAAATCTTTTGACACACCAGAATAAAATAATCAATTTCAAAATATATAAATATAATGATTTTGCAGAACGAACCGCATGGTCTTGCTTCTATACAGAGCTTGATAAGACCATAGAAGCTTTGTTTCTCAGAACTTTACAATTCATATATAATTTAAATCGTGACTTCATAGTGAAAAAGTGTTAGTCTGGAATTAATACTCCATCATAATTCACAACTATGCAGTTTGATTTACAAGCACAAACAATTTCTGACTGAAATGTGTGCTCATTGAGCAGATTTAAAAAAAACACCTAGGCAGAGTTCAAACATGAGATGGGCTTCTCACCTGAATGAGTTTTTAAGTGCCGAGACAAACCTCCCTTCAGGCTGAAACCTTTCCCACATGTCACACAGGAGAACGGTTTCTCACCTGTGTGAGTTCTACTATGCCGAGATAAAGCTGCGCGTTGCCTAAAACTTTCTCCACAGGTCCCACATGAGAAAGGCTTCTCACCTGTATGAGTTCTCATGTGTCGAGATAAAGTTTCTTTTTGGCTAAAGCTTTGTCCACAGATGGCACACGAGAAAGGCTTCTCACCTGTGTGAATTCTCATGTGCCCTGATAAAGCTCCTTTTTGCCTAAAACTTTCTCCACAGATCAAACATGAGAATGGCTTCTCACCAGTATGAGTTCTCATATGCCGAGATAAAGTTTCTTTTTGCCTGAAACATTTTCCACAAGTCGTACACGAGAAAGGCTTCTCACCTGTGTGAGTTTTTATGTGCTGAGATAATGTTTGTCTTTCTCTGAACTTTTTTCCACAGGTGGTACAAGAAAAAAGCTTCTGGCCTGTGTGAGTTTTTAAGTGTCGAAATAAACTTCCTCTCAATCTGAAACTTTTTCCACAGGTAAGACATGAGAAGGGCTTCTCACCTGTGTGAATTCTCATGTGATGTGATAAAGTTTCTCTTTCTCTAAAACTTTTTCCACAGGTAGTACATGGGAAAAGCTTCTGACCTGTGTGTGTTTTCAAGTGCCGAAATAAATTTCCACTTGAGCCGAAACTCTTGCCACAGGTCAAACATGAGAAAAGTTTCTCACCTGAATGGGTTCTGAAATGAACTATTAAATTACTTTTTTTAACAAATTTCTTTCCACAGGTCAAACATGAGAACGGTTTCTCACCTGTGTGAATTCTCATGTGTTCACTTAAATAATTCCGGCTTAAAACTTTGCCACAAAGTTTACAGAAAGAAAAATTCTCATTCTTGTGTTTTTTGACACTTGATTTGTCTGTGTTATCATCATCATCTCGGATTTTCTGACACTCACCACTCACACCACTTGATCCTGGGTCAGTGTAATCTTTCTTTTCCTGGTTTTGGATATGCAATTGGACCCGGTTTACTTCTGGTTGCCTATGTTCCCTTTCCGTATACGTAGGAGTTACTGGGATGAAATCAGTCTCCTGCTTTAGTTTAAGCTGTTCTTTCTCAAGACTGAGACAGAGTTCCTCCTGTTCATCCTTTATCTGTGGAAGTTCTGATTCCTCCATTTCCTTTTTAACTAGGAGAAGTTCTGGTTCTCCCTCATTCTCACTTATTAAAAGAACTTGTAGTACTTTCTTTTCACAATTTATCTGTGGAGGTTCTCCTTCTTTCTCATCATCCATTACCCGCACTTGTTCTGGTTCCTCCTGTTCAACCTTTATCTGCACTTGTTCAAATTCGTCCTGGTCGTCCTTCATCCATTGAGCGTCTTTTTGACCCAAACTGGAATTTTTCTCCTGAATCCATGTTTGGTCAGTGAGAACATCCACTTTCTTTGAGCCACAAAGCTCTGGGAACTCTAAACAAACAAAAGAAAAAGAAAACAGGCTGATTAATTAATAACAGCATAAAGAAATAAAAACTCACTTTTGTGATTTCATGCAACTAGAGATGCATTAGAAAGTATAATCCCTAAAATTAGAGATGCAAATTTTCAATTAATGAGTTAATCTAAAGTTGACTGATCTTTCCAATCGACTAATGATTAATTGATAAATGACCGTTTTTGTTTCATGACATGAAATGATACGTTTTTAATTTGCTGAATCAGTAGTGAGGGTGACATTCTGCTCAGTCTTGCTTCCAATTCAGCTACCTTTTTGTTGAAGCACTCCTGTAAGCAGCTGTGAATGGTTGAGAAGTGCTTCACCATGCAGCACGATTGAATGAGGCAAACGGCTTAAGGGGAAACTTAAGGACCTTGTCGATATTTCTGAACAGAATCACATAAAGTGGATTTTGCATCCCACACCAAACTCTATTTGGGTTGTTTCACTTTGCTGTCCAGTGATGGCACCGCTGTCTTTATTTCTGTATCAACTGGCTCTGCTTCAGAATGACAGTATTATACCACATTATAACACTGGAAAAAGGTCTATGCGGGTGTTATTATTTAATCAATTGGATCACAAACATTGTACAGCTCATCACAGAATTTGACTTTGGAAATTGATTATTGTCATAAATTACAAAAAGGAAAAGGTAAAGAAATTGAGGATGTAGTTTGACACTTTGAGTGTAAAAGAGGTAAAGACTGTATTTTATCATCTGAGCAACATGGTGGGCTCATTTTATTCAGTCATCAGATCTACATGAAAGCACAGATCAAGAGGCCATACCTCATTTAACAAGACTTTTTCCTGTGCTATTGTTCCTTGCATATATGCAAAGTGATGTCTCAATCTTAACTTTACTTGGACCATTAATATATATATATTAATGGTCCATATAATTTATATATATATATATATATATATATATATATATATATATATATATATATATATATATATATATATATATATATATATATCCCTCTTCCAGCTGTTGTTTTTTTTTTATTTCTCTGATGAAAGAATTTCTTTAATACATGCCCAAATTTCAAATTGAGCTAGAAAAGAAAAGAAAAGAATCTGACAGGTGGGTGTCATACAGTAAAGTCAAACAAACTTTATTATGGTCTAACCAGAAAGCATGTCAACCGTAATAACGGCGCAGAGCTCAACTAACAGGGACACGCATATCAACACAACAGGGACGTCGCCGAAACGGACACCTTGCGTAAAGCTGACAGCTATAGTAATTGATAAAGAGTCTTTCTCCGACCCGCTGACTGCGGCGGTTTCACTCGGCTTTAAGGACGACGACAACAAAGACAGCGGAGTTAAATTTACGTACCCATTACGTACCCGTTTACAGAGCTGTTCGGTCGCTCTGTACCTTATTTTCCACGGGGGAACCCAGTCCAGGTGACTCTCCTGTTTGGATGAAGTCTGTTCGGGTCGGTGGGTGATCCTGTTGTGAGTTGCAGGATGGACCGCGTTCAGACCGCCATGCTAACGCAAACACAACCGACCCAGGCTAACTCCGAAGGTGGTCTTAGCAAAGCCTTATTCAGCTCACGCAACATAGCGAAGCTACCGCTGCTAACCCCACCAAACAAACCAAAAAGAAAAAAACAAAACAAGAAAAGTCTTCTTCTTGGTTTGATGAAGGTTAGTAGCGCACGTTTCTTACTCAGTACTGACACCTAGTGGGTAAAATAACAAGTAAATCGAGAGAAGGCAAAAAAATAAATAAAAAGTGAAGGTGTATTTTAACAGACACACACCTAATTCTTGTTAAATTTTCCTACTATACATGAGTGGCTGTGTAAGTTCACGACTCTCTTCAATGTACTGGATGAATTAAAATTATGGACTGACATGATTTATGTTGAATATTACATTTTTGGAGCACACAGACCATGACTGAGGACACATCTGCACACCACCTGAACACTTCCTGTTCTTATAATTTTGGTGTGTTTAAAAACTTATAGAACTTTATATATAAAGTTTTATACACTTTCTAACACTTTATGACAGATGTGCAAAGCTGCTCAGTTTTTGTGTTCCAGCATAGCTTGTAACTGAAGTCAACTGGACTGAGAGATTGAAATATTGTTAGAAACATAATGGAGGACCTCGGGTGCAGAAACCAAGCAGATGAATGAGGAAAAACTACTATGCCTTTATGTTCTTAAAGAAAAGTAGAAAGAATGCACCAACAATGAAAACATCTATTTATTTTCCCAAAACACAGTGCAAACATCTTTATTTTACATAAAGTGCATAAGTGATTATCAACTGCTATTCAGTTACTATTCAAGCAACTGATGGAAATGAACTGAGCAGGACACTGCAAGTAAAACATGTTTTCTTTTATAATGAGCCATTTGTACAAAATTTAATAAGATAGGAAGCAAAACAGCTATGGAATAATACATTTGTTAAGTTTTAGTTTCTCCCACAGAGCTAACATTCATATTGTGACACTTTTTGAAAAATTCATTGCTAAGCAATATCAGGTGAAAATCACCTGATTTTATACCATGCATGAGAGCCACAATATCAAAAGCTCATAAAAAGATCAGATTAGAGCTCCAAATAAGCTTTTTGGCTTGGAGAATTCTGACAAAATGCCAGAATGTAAACTTGTTAGTCCACTTGTCTTCATAAATGTTTATTCATTTATTGTTGTACTGGAAAGAACAACAGACTCTAACTAAGTGAACATATGGTCGTAGTTTAGGATTTTATTTTACTTTTTGTACATTCACAGTGAGTTTTACACACATTATGCTTTGAGACAAATTGTTCCCTTTTGTTATCAGATCAATGAGACCTTCCTTCCACTGTTACACATTGGATTAATCCCTCTTCCTCCCAGAGTGGTTTGACAGACATAGTCCTTTAAAAAACGCTTTTTGATTTCAGCGTGACCATCTGTGCAAGTGCTTATTTAGAGGTGGATTTGGCCTGAAAGCTGGAGAGATCATCTCTTTACTCAAAGACCTAATGCTACAATAAACTCATTTGTTTTCCATTATCCCGAGACATACTGTGAATAATATGTACAGGGTAAAGTCAGGAGACAGTTTAAAGTCTCTTTAAAGACAGAGCAATGTATAACAGTGACATAAAAACTATTTACAAATTCATGCTATATATAAAACAACTGACTTGGTTGAAGTACAGCATGCAAAAGCAGAACCCATGTACGGAGGCCTCAGTCCTCAACGTGGCTGTCATAGGTTCAATTCCTGGCCTGTTGATCTTTCCTATATGTCTTGTCCCTCTAACACAACAAACTTACTATAAAAGGACAGCACAGCCAAAAAAATCATTTTAAAATAAGAAAGTAGTAGCCTACTCGGAGCAGAAGAGAATAGGCAAGGGAAGTTACTGATTTCTGCGACAGACAGGCGACCTGTCCAGGGTGTACCCCGCCTCTCGCCCGGAACGCAGCTGGAGATAGGCACCAGCACCTCCCGACCCCGTTAGGGACAAGGGTAATCAGAAAATGGATGGATGGATGGAAGTTACTGATTTCAAAGTATGTTGCAGCATGAGTTTTTCCACAAAATTTCTCCATCACACCTTTGACAGAGGCATACGTGTTTTTGTTTGTGTGGTCAGAGATAAAGTACATCGGTAATGTGTGTAGGAAATTCCACAGCTAACAAAGATGTGTGCAAAACATTTAGCTTGCTATGTCTAGGTTTACAGTTGAACCTTTCACTTCAAATGGTGCAACTGGGCACATTAAAATAAATAAAACTTTTCTGGATTGATTTGGAGTTTTACAAAAAACCAGAGGCAACTTGGAGAGGAGCTCATCTTGGCTGGTTTGTGACCCAACTGCTTTTGAACAAGACATATGATTGTACAAATGGACTGAGCTAAATGTTCATATCTAGAAAGTTCTCAGAACCGTGTGTTAGTCAACTTCTGTCAAGATCCATTATGTACAAATATGTCGACATGTCAGCAAATGTCAGACCTTAACCCACATGAAGATCAAACAAACATGCATTGCATGACTATACAGATACTTTGAAGACCAGTAAAAAAAAATCACTTCACTGTTTGAGAATGCTACAAGATTACACCTTCTTACCTTTGTGAGTTTTCATGTGATCTGTCAAGTCGACACTCTGAGTGAAACAAGCGCCACAAATTTCACACAAGTACAACTTTTTAACTGCATGAGTTCTCATATGCACAGTCAAATGACCTCCTTGACGAAAGTTTTTTCCACAAGTTGGACACGAGAAAGGCCTCTCATCTGTGTGAGTTCTGATGTGTCGAGATAAATTTCTCTTATCACTAAAACGCTTTCCACAGGTTGAACATGGGAAAGGCTTCTCCCCTGTGTGGATTCTCGTGTGCTGAGATAATGTCCCACTATGCCTGAAACTTTTTCCACAAGTTAGACAGGAGAAAGGCTTCTCACCTGTGTGAGTTCTTATATGTTTCGTCAAGACCATTTGCAGGGTGAAGCTTTTTCCACAAATCACACAGGGGAAAGGCTTCTCCCCTGTGTGAGTTCTCATGTGTACAGTCAAATGATTTTGCTGCCGAAAACTTTTTCCACAAACTGTACATAAGAAAAGCTTCTCTCCTGTGTGAATTCTCATGTGTTCAGACAAATAACTTCGAGCTAAAACTTTATCACAAACATTACAAGAGCACAGGTTCTCATTTGTGTGTTTATTCTTCTGTTCTTTTACTTTTTTGGTACCTACGTTGTCGCGTCTACCTCCAGTTTTTTGATACCTCTTATTTTGTTTCAGTTCTTTATCTCTATTTAATTCAGAGTTCTCATAATCAATTCTTTCATCGTATTGGTTCTTTTGAAGCCGGTGGCTGCTTGGATCTGGTTCCCGATTATCTCTTTCATAAGGAGGAGTTATAACAAAGGTATCCGTCTCCTGCTTGATTTCAAGCTCTTCCTCCAGACTACTGCAGTATTTGTCATGTTCATCCTTTATCTGTATAGATTCTGTTTCCTCATGTTCATCCTTTATTTGTAGAGATTCCAGGACTTCCTCATGCTCTTTCTGCCAGAGAGGTAGTTCTTTCTGCTTGTATTTTATCTGTGGAACTTCTGCTTCCTCTTGGTCCAAACTTCTGCATCTCTCCTTGCTGCAGAAACTCTGGTTAAGATCAATTCCCTTCTCCACCTGCTGTTCAACATCTAAACAGGAAGAAAGATAAACATGTTTAATAATGCAAATATAACAGCACTTTTTTTTTAAATCTCAAAGTTATTTTTATTTATTTTTTTATTAACAACAACCTCGACTGACCAAAGTGAATCACAATAGCTACAGGATTGCAGATTGAATGGGTATGAGATCAAATGAAAACAAGAGCCACAAAACAATAGTTCCATAAACTTCATTCAATTAAAGATGTTTTTGGAAAGAATTGACCCCTAGGTTCAAAGTGTGACCCTGAAAGGTGAGAGTTTTTTTTTTTTGTAGCCCTCAGAATGATTTGAAGTGGCCCATGACCACAAAACAAAAGGATTCCTTGAATTTAGGAGTGCACCAATTTTATTAACTTTGAGAGATTGGTTGATACTTTCATGAAGCTGATCTTATCTTTTAGGCAAAGCTTTAAAGTCAGCACTGTCCATTTCTGCTCTCTCCATCACAGAGGGATGACAGATAGACCAGGACACATTATGATATTGCACGGACAATTTTGATGCCACATTTTGAACAATTTTGAGAAATCTTGCACTGCTTTCCTAAAAGGAATCAGTTTGTAACAATAAGAGCAGAACTAACAGAATGAACAGATAGATATGAAATTGAGGTAAAGTGAAATGAATCTGTGATAACAGGGATTTTTCCTTCAAAACAATAGGAACACATATTGATCTTACCATTTTAATAAGACTACAATTTCAAAATGTCTCATCAAATTTAAACATTTATTTGAGTGAGCTTTGGGGATTATGCATTTCTTATGCCAACAGGAAATGTTTGGCAAAAAAAAAACTTTCTTTGAACAATAGTATAAATTTTGTGACTGTTTGACCTGCACAGATTTCGCAATAAATAGAAGTACAACTTTTAGAGCAATAACTATAACAGCTGAACTCGTAAATTAAAACAGAAAGTAAGAACTAAAACGTCAATTGCTAGGACGGTTCAGGGTATTAGAAATAAATACATCATTAAACATTTGAGGTTATATTAACATGTCAATAAACGTCTCAGAAGTATGTTTTAATTTCTAACGTGAACGCAGACAGTGTGCCGCAATATTTTATCTTTGGCCCAGAAAAAAAAACAAAAACAAAAAACAAAGTGAAATGGCAAAAGGACGAAATAGCAAACCACCGCCATCATAAAATGATCACCTTGATCAAGTCATTAACCTGAAATTCAGATTCCTTTCACCTTCGTGTTTCCATTCAGCTTCTGAAGTAATCGTTTTAGCGTTAAGTTCTGCCCTACTGTACTTATTTGCACGTCTCGGAGCAACAGAACATCAGTACCTCTTATTCTCTGCAGGGTTACTTGGGGTTTCCAGCTGACGTCAAGAAGTTTACGTTGGCGGTCCAGCTGCTCCTCGTACTGGACGATGGTTTTATCAAACTCTGTGAATATTTCTTCAGCTGCAGCGGCCAGTCGCTCCCTGATAAAATCTCTCAGAGACTGAAACAGAGCCATAGCTGCTGCAGAGACATCAAAAGACATGTCGCACTGCTAACTCTGCTAAAGGGGCCGAAAATTCTTCTTCGTTGTGTGCTGGACGTCAGGAAAGGGCGCTTTTACTCATCAGCGCCACCTGCTGAAAAGAACTCGAAATCACTTTGATATTTTTTATTCTAAAACCGACATATAGAAAATAAAAACTGCAGCAGGCGACATTTAGCTATAATTTGAATAGGTGAGTCAGTTTAAATTAATTGCACTCAAGATAAAGACATTTTAATTTTGTAGGGCAAGACACAAGTACATGTTTAGAAAATGTGTGAAAAGGTCCAGTATTTGAGTAAGCCAAAGTCATTATATCAATTCCAAGTGAAATATTTCAATTCTTGAATGGATTTTGTTTCACCAGCCTCTCAAAGGTGTGATTATTCCTGTTGCTCCCTTTCCCATCACTTTTTTTACTTCCACTCAACTTTGGATGAACTCTTGAATAAAACACCCTATTGACAACCAGCTTCTTTAGCAGTGACCTTTTCAGATTTTTTTTTAGTTAATGAGCTGATTATTATGTGACACAATGAGATCTCAGTAAAGTGGAGATCTCTCAGTAAAGCCATAATCATCAAAATTACAACAAAAAAAGGCTTGAAATATTTCATTCTAGGTGTAACAAATCTTTATAAGTTTCACATTCTGAAATGTTTATCACGTTATAATTTCTTAGACGAACCTGCATTTAATGTCCTTGATAATCAATATAGCTTTTCATTCATTACACTTCACAGACAGACCTTTTAAGAAAACTGAGTTTAGTGATGAAAAACTGAGCCCAACCTTTCTCCTAGCTGTTTTGATATTCCCCTCAGTTTAACACACCTTGGTGTGTTTTCTGAAACAACTAACGTGTATGGGTTCTCATGTGTCGAGATAAATTTCCTTGTTCGCTGAAACTCCTTCCACAGATCACACACAACAACGGCTTCTCTCCTGTGTGACTTCTCATGTGCCGGGTCAGTGAAATCTGCAGGGTAAAGCTTTTTCCACAAGTCAAACAGGAGAAAGGCCTCTCACCAGTGTGAGTTCTCATATGTACAGTCAAATGAGTTCTTTGGCCAAAGCTTTTTCCACAGGTCACACACGAGAAAGGCTTTTCACCAGTGTGAGTTCTCACGTGACGCGTCAACGCGATTCTCATGGTGAAGCTTTTTCCACAAGTCAGACAGGAGAAAGGCCTCTCACCTGTGTGAGTTCTCATATGAACAGTCAAATGATATCGTTGACCAAATTTTTTTCCACAGGTCATGCAGGAAAACGGCTTCTCACCGGTGTGTGTTCTCACATGCTTAGTCAAATTACTCCGAGTAAAAAGTTTACCACAAACATTACAAGAGCACAAATTGTTATTCAGGCGTGTTTCCTTCAGCCTTTTAACCTTTGGGTTGTCTACTACGTCGCCACTATGACCTCTGATTTTCTGACACCAGAGTTCTTCTTCTCTCGCTCTACTTGATTTTGATTCTTCATGGTGGCTTCTTTCCTGGTCAGAAGAGATCTGGACGGTGTCCTGGTCCCAGTTTGGTTCTGGGCTCATCAAAGAAACATCTGGTTCTCGGTTCGCTCCTTCTTCATCAATAGGACTCACTACAATGATATCAAACTCCTGCTTCAGTTCAAGTTGCTCTTTCTCCAAACTGATGCAACATTCGTCCTCCTCTTCTTTTATCTGTGTTAGTTCAGGTTCCTCTTTTATCTGGGGAGATTCTGGTCCATTCTGTTCTTCTTGGCCCAAACTGAAGTTCTTGTCCTGGTTGCAGAGCTGCTGGTCAGTAATAACTTCCTCCTCCTTCCAGACAAAATGCTGTGGGAGGTCTAAAATAGCAAACAGGTACAAATGCTGATAAGCATGATAATGAGAAAAAAGTAGGTGGTTTTCAAGTTTTTATATAACTTTTGATATTTTGGAAAGTAGTGGTCATATGATTTCACCAGTTGACTTTTCCAGAAAGGGATCAAAACCACAAAAAAAGAGAGTTCACTTTCTTTTCTTTTTTAAAAGAAAGTGAAGAACAGAGACATTTCTTCATCAACTATCAGTCAATATATCAATATAACTCAAAAATATATTGTGAGTTCTGACTGGGCTTTGTGAATTGTCACATTGATGGCTGAATCAGTTTTAACTTAAATATTAGTCACAATTTTAACCTATGAATCTGATAACTGAAATCAAGGTAATGGTGAGTTAAATAATATTTATTTCCTCCATCTTAGCTGCATTACAGGAGTATTTTAGTGAACCGTCAGAAGAGCCAACAGAAACAAACTACTGATTCATTTCATCCTTCTCAGCCTTTCATATGACAGCTTTCTCATTACAGGGGATAAACTCATAATGAATCCCAAAGCTTTTTATCAGAAATATTCATGATGTTATTAAGTTTACTAGACTGATTTAATCAGACTCAGTTTCACTTATTTTATCCAGAAGGTCCTCAAACCAGACTGTCCTGCATCTCTGTGTTAAGTGAAACATTCGTTGCTTTGGTGGTTCATACCTATTCTCTGCAGATCTATTTGGGGGTTCCAGCAGATTTCCAGCAGCCTCCGCTGACGGTCCAGCTGGGCCTCGAACTCGACGACGGTTTTATCAAACTCTGTGAATATTTCTTCAGCAGCAGCGGCCAGTCGCTCCCTGATAAAGTCTCTCAGAGACTGAGACAGAGACATTGCTGGTGCGGAAACCTAAATATTCAGCTCATAAGACACAGCAGAAGAAAGCTAACTCTGCTAACAGGCACAGAAAGTCTGTTATCCAGAAAGAAACCTGTCGACTCATTATCGCCACCTGCTGGAGGGATGCATTTAAAACACGGTGAAGTAATTTCATTTATACAACACATTTTCACCAACAAATCAATTCAAAACGCTGTAGAATGAAATACAAACAACATAAGGAAACAAAGGAAAGAGCAAAAGAAAAAGAAAAACACCACATATTAGTTTTTTCCCCGTGTTTAAGAATAAGTGGTCCGTACTTTATAAACTAGTAGGGGGTTTCTCTGCCTTTTAATATATCTTCAGTCAGACTATTAGCTGCTGCCAACAAAATATAATAATAATAATAATTAAAAAAATATATAAAAGCTTTTAATATAGAAATAAGCTAAAAAAAAGAAGCTTTTTTCACATATAAAAATCTTTATACAAATTCATTGTGAAAACCCCCAACCACCTTACAAGACAGATCATTCCAAAATTGGCAATAACTTTTTAAAAATTATTATTTCTAGTTTATGTGATTATATAATGTGACATGCATTAATATTTGCAAGCAATTTTTAACTGCAATAATTTAATAGCCTTTTTTATTACTACTCAATAAAAACACCTGCTCTGGTTTGGAAAAATACAATATTTAGACTCCTGAAGCCTTAACTGGACGTTTTACTCTAAAATAATTGTTCAAAGCCTTTGATTTGTGAGTCTTATAAAGGATAATTTCAGTGCTTATTTTACCACATGGAACAAACAAAAACCAGTTCAAGTAAAAAGAAATTTATGAGTTTAAATCAGACAACCTGCATTTCTGTGATCAGTAAAGCAACACTAGTTCTCTGCAACTCTATTCTGGGTTTCCAGCAGATTTCCAGCAGTCTTTGCAGACGATCCAGCTCTTCCTTCTACTGGACGATGGTTTTATCAAACTCTGTGAATATTTCTTCAGCAGCTGCAGTCAGTCGCTCCCTTATAAGCTCTCTTAAAGACGTAAATGAAGATATTATTGCTGCAGAAGCACAAATATTTAACCCAGAAGACACAATAGAGGAACGCTAACTCTGCATTTCTTTAGCTAGCAATAGTAGTTCAGGGAGGAGATTGATTTTTTTTTTCACAGATTATCTGTCTCATAGCAAACCGTCATTACATGGTGACAACTTTAACAAATATGGAATTTTTTTTCTCTTAGTTATATACTACACCTTGAAAAAAATGCAACTACATTGTACTTTTTGACAAGTCTGCATTGTTTTATGTATATTTTGCATGTTGTCTGTGACTGTTGCTGGTGAAGAGAGACATTTCAATGAGATAAAACTAATAATAAAATTTAAGCAACCTGTTTGCTGTATTGTATGCGTACTGTTGCATGTAAAATTCATGAGCAGTAAATACTATGCTAGTATCAGTATTGGACCAAAGAAAGCAAGACAGTTGCAAGCCTTGAAAATTGTGACACTTTATATGGCTGAGATAGACTCAAGAAACTGTAACAGCAGTTTGGGGGGGGGAGGTTACATTTTTTGTCATGGGGCCCAAGAATCCTGGCGGCGCCCTTGCGTCACAAAATCCTTTTTTTTTTTATTGGAGTTTTGCAACTTTACAACACAACTCAAACAACACAACAGCTCAGAACCAGTGTGACCAAAATCCGCTGTTAAACACAAACAAATCTCAGTCATGTCAGTACGTCGTCTGACAAAAATGTACTGCCTGAGACACTTAAATGGTCTACCTTTTTCACAAACAATGCAAATTACTACATTGCAGGAAAGTTTTCCACAGATCTTGAAAACAGCCTCTCACTTGTGTGTTTTTATGTGAGTAGTTAAATTACATTTTTGAATAAACCTTTTTCCACACGTTACACACAAGTGAGGCTTGTGGCCTGAGTGAATTTTTTTGTGCCGAGATAAACTTCCTCTAGTGTTGAAGCATCTTCCACAGATCTTACATGAGAACGCCTTCTCACCTGTATAAATTTGAATGTGACTCATGAGTTGAAATTTTCGAAGGAACGTTTTTCCACACGTCATACACAAATGAGGCCTTTTGCCTGAATGAATTTTAGTGTGCCGAGATAAATTTCCACTATTGTTGAAGCATTTTCCACGTTATACATGAAAACGGTTTCTCAGCTGTGTGTTTGCATGTGACACATTAGCAGATTTTTTTCAGTGAACCTTTTTCCACATGTCATACACAAGTGAGGTTTGTGACTTGAGTGAATTTTAGTGTGCGAAGTTAAATTTCCACGATTTTCAAACTGTTTCCCACATGTCAGACACGAGAAAGGTCTCTCGCTGGTATGAGTTGTGTGAAAATCTTTACCATCCCACAAGTTCTCCTTCATCCGTCTTTTCTTCTGTTTCTCTACTTTTGGTTTGTCTATATAGTCACAGTGCTTTCTGGTTTTCTGATGCCTTTTAATTTGTCTCAGTTTAGCATCTGTAGTTGATCCAGAGTCTTCATTGCCGCTTCTTTCCTGGTTTTGGTTCTCATTTTCAGAAGAGAACTGGATGTTGAGCTGGTCGAAGTTTGGTACAGTTTGTCTGAGGTTTCGCTCGTCACAGTCAGGATTTTCTATGAAGGTATCAGCCTCCTGCTTCAGATCAAACGGTTCAATCTGTATCTGTGGATGTTCTGGTTCATCTTGTTCCGTTTTTACAAGGAGCGGGTGCAGATCACTATGGTTCTCATACATCTGCTGAGGTCCTGGATCTTCCTGGTTCAGTCCGAGAAGTTCTGATTCTCCTCGGTCCAAATTAGAAAGATTCTCCTGCTTAATGAACATTTCTGAAAGGTCTGGAGAGACAACAAAAGACATGCGATGATAAATGTGATTATGAGAAAGAACACTTCACATTTCTAATTTCATGCACTTAAAAATGTTTTCTACATTATTTAACCTCACCATGTGTGTCAGTATATTTGTTGCACGTTTCGAAATAAGTTGTAGCTTGCTCTGCACATTAAATTCTTTATGACTATATTTCAGCCAAAAGAACCACAAGTAATTGTTAAAAACGACGTGGTGACAGTTTTAACAAAGATGTAAAAACGCTTTTTTTAATAAACAGAATTTAACAGATAAAAAAAGATTTAATAGATAAGAACATTTCGTACAAAAATACCGCTTTTTGTGAGGAAAAATCTAGTTCAAATTTTGATAGTCTTACTTTTTTGGGTTTTTAACGAGACCAGAGTAAAGATGTTCAATCTAATGGAAAATTGTCTGTTGGAAGTTTCTCCAATTAGAAGCTATAACCTCTGCGTTGCGTTCAGATCTGAATCGGAAACACCTCCAACCAGACAACTCGCATCTCTGATAGGTGAAACATTCGTTACCTATTCTGTGTAACTTTATTCGGGGGTTCCAGCAGATTTCCAGCAGCCTCCGCTGGCGGTCCAGCTCTTCCTCGTACCGCACGATGGTTTTATCAAACTCCGTGAATATTTCCTCAGCGGCAGCGGTCAGTCGCTCCTTGATAAAGTCTCTCAAAGACTCGGATAAAGACATTGTTGTGTGGAAACACAAATATTCAGCACATTAAAGCTAACTCTACTAGCGATATCAGAAAGTCTTCTTTTTTTCTTCTTTCCTCTTCTTATTCTTGAAACTTAATGGCGGTTGGCTAAAAACGTTAGGTGAGCATAAGAGCACTTGTGCGAAATTCGGTTCCCCTGTGAAAATCTGTTCCCCCTGCGTCGGGAGCGCGCATTACAGCCAGAGAGGCGAAAGAGGCGGATCTGATCATTTTCACGTCGCTTCTGATCGATTTCTCGGTAAAAAAAAACAACTAATACAACCATGTCAATGTTGTAACACTCAGTTTAATTTGCAGCTGTTGTTTAAAAAAATTGTAAAATAAATAAATAAACGAGGTCTTCTGACGCTGTTTTGTGTTATTGTAAACAAGAGAATCGCCCTTTTCTCACGTAAGTCTGGCAGAAATAAAAGTCAGTCACCAAACACAGTTTTCCCAACACGTAGTGTGTATGTAAAGGTTTTTGTGAATTTGGAAACAGTTGTTCTTTATTCCCCAAGGTTATGGAGTAAGGAGAGGAAATAATGGATGATTCAGCAGCCTGAAATATTCTGTTCCCCTTCCATAAAATGGGAACAAATTATTTTACCTGCAAATGCTTAACTGTGCTTATTCCTCTCATCATCAACAATAAATACTGTGAATTTGGTAGCATTTGCTCTTATTTTGCCAGAGTTATGAGGGGGGAACCATATATTTCAGCTGGCTAAAATATTCTGTTCCCTCTCCATAAAATGGGAACAACTGAACTTACCAGCAATATTTTTTCTCTGCTTATTCCTTTCATCATCAACAATAAATACTGTGAATTTGGTAGCATTTGCTCCTTTTTTGCCAGAGTTATGAGGGGGGAACCATATATTTTAGCTGTTTTACCTGACTGAAATTATCCGTTCCCCCTCCAAAACATGGAAAAAAAATTATTTATCAACAGTAATGATCAACAGCAAACTGGCTGTTTGCAAACAGCAAGTTTGAAAACATTTCATCACTATTTGCAAGAGTTATGAGGACTAACCATACATTTTAGTCATCTGAATTAACCTAATAAAGTCTGGTCAGGATAAATGTAAAAAATAGTTTTCAAATTGGAATTTATTTACAATATACAAAATGGAATGTTATTTACAATATACATGAACAAGCACAACACAGCAAACTAAGGCAAACAAGCAATACAATTGTATTTTCTTCAACAGTTGGGCTTCCCACACATCCCTGATGGTACCACCTCAGGCACATGTCACACTGGATCTAGAAAAGAACCCAAAAATATAATGCTATCTTTTAAGAAATGTGACTGTACAAGTACAACATACAATCAATCATTTTTGATTCCCTTATATTCCAAATGATGGAGGATCCTATCAAAGCTTGTTTACGCCAGACAATATTACATAAATATTGTACATAAAATTTGTACTATTTTTTAATGTACTAACACTAACTTTTTGAATAATAAAAAAACTCTTACCCAGTTCACATCTGTGTCACTTTCCATCTCTCCACAGAAGTGACAAGTCTTTTAGGTCATCTATTAAGAACAAAAGTTAAAAAAACGTAAACACAGCCCCACACACACATCATTATACATGTACAGTCTTGTCCGTATTTGTGGATGTTTATGTGCATACACATACACATCCTGTGTTTAGCAACTGTATTGATGTTAATCACAGGATGTGCTAAGCACCAACATAATCATTACTGAAAAAAAACCATTTACATTTTATAACCATATAAAATGAAATTATTTTAGATATTAATTTATATAAAAAAAGTTTCCTTTCATAATTTTGTTCACATTTAATGTTAATGGATTAATTTTGGGCTCAGTACAGATATTGTTGCAAACAATAAAAATATTGTTAATTGTGATCACAATTTGCATAAACAATCAAAACAATAATATTAATGTTATCCTCACCACTGTTAAGGATCAGTCTGACAGCTATGTCAAACCTCATGTTGTTTATGTCAGCTCTGGATACTGGAAAGTCCACAATATCTTTAGCCAGGATTTTTTCTACAAACTGAAATGTAATGTTTAATTTAATAGATCTAATTTGAAGTGACAAAGGAAGTAAGTGACTGTATATTCTCAAAAAAATAAATAATAAAAATTGTTAAGTTATTCACTGTGTGACAATATTTACGCACCTTCAATGCAAAAACACCACATGAGGTGCTATCTGGTTGTTTAGGGTGTTTTACTGTCTCACATTTCCAGCGTGAGACACTGCACCCCTTTTTCCTCATAAATGCTCTGTAAATATAGACATATTAGTAAGAACAACTTTATGTTATTGTCATGCTTCAGTTTGTACTACATTTTCAACCATACCTTGTGACTTGTAAGCATTTTTGTATTTCTTGTTGAGATTCCCCCAGGGGATTTAAGAACAGAGACTTCTTCTCTTTTGGGTAGATTACCTATAAAGTGTGCATTCCATAGTTTTCATGTGGTCTTTTGTCTATCACATAAGAATGACATATATAGTCAAAGTGTAAAAAATAATTATTACCACTAGAGTCCAGTGGTGGCTTTCATTGTTGACTCCGACAATGATATCATATTTCATTGGCTCCATCTGTGAATAATAAAGATATTAAAATATATGTCCTATCAAGACCAAAACATGTTTAGTGTCACACACAGACACATTGCACTAGCATTTTATTGATCCATAGGTGACACATACAAATCTTTGAAAACATGTAACCATTAACACATTTTCTTTTCATTGATTCAAAAATACTTATTACACATGTAAGAGTAACAAAAAAAAATAGTGGAATGTATAAGATTTACCTTTCTTAGTCTGGGACTTTTCCCCTGCCACATTGATGTCACCATAAAGGAATCAATGAAGGCAGCCTCTCCAGTGTTCTGGCTGTTGTATTTCTTCACCAGTACTGCCAGAAATGCATTAATAGACTGCAAATATACCATGAAAAAAAAGATAATTTAAATACCATATCAGTTGTGAAATTTCAAATAAATATATCCATTGTACTTACCTGACTTTCCAGTTCCATATTAGGACCAATTTTATTTATGTCAGAGTAGAACAACTTGTAGCCATTGACTTTGGACACAAGTACAAAGACTTTTAAACCACTGAAAGCATCATGCACATCTGATTTTGAGGATGGGGTGAGCCGTCGTGGAAAAGAAAATACAAGTTAATGATTAGTTTCATTATCGTGACACCTAACACCATTTAATTTTATAAAACATTTAATATGCTATCCAACATTATTCAAATAGTTTTAGTGGAGTAAGATAAAGTATTAACTTCAATGAATCATTTTCTACAAATGAATTAAAAAGAAAGCTAACATTTTCATTTAATAATATACTGAAAATATTCCTTTTATTAAAATAAGATGAAAGCATATCAGTACAAAGACATAAAGTCTTTGTGAGACATATATGTATGATAATAAAAACTGAAATGTATGTGCATTGATATATATTTATAAAAATTGGAAATCAAATTTACATTTCTCAGCTTGAGTTTTTTTCTGGGTAGCTGACTGGACAGGAGTCAATGGCAGAGCAGAGGAAGACGGTGATGGAGCAGGAGGTGGGGATGGAGTCGGTGGAGGGACTGGAGCAGGGGGAGGTGCTGCAGCAGGTGGAGATGGTGATGGAGCAGGAGGCGGGATGGAGTTGGTGGAGGGACTGGAGCAGGGGGGGTGATGGAGCAGAGGGAGGTGACTCTGGATCAGCAAGGGGTTGAGCATAATTTCTTTTACTTCCTTGATTTTTTAAATGATGTGGCATTCGGGGACTCTCTGCAATGTACATTTTCAGATGGTCAGTGTTTATTTTCTTGAAGACCACACCATTGTCATCTTTGATATCGGCATTTTTTCCTTGGATGTTTATGACGGTAAAGGGGCCCAGAAAACCAGCATCCAACTTCCCCCCTTTTCTCTGCTGACTCCGTATATTCTGCCTCCACACTCGGTCACCAGGTTTAAACACTGTAGCATTCTGTTGTGCTCTGCCCTTTGCTTTTTCCTGTTTTTTGGAAACACTTTCAATAACAATGCTCCGCAGTGTTTCTTGGACTTTCAGGTCCTCTGCCAGATCCTCCACTCCAATGATGTCCTCCACAGCACCGTCAATCTTTCAACACAAATGTAATATTTCAAATGTCAGTTCAAATCTGTCATTTACACAGCATATCGGCATAATTTCTATGACATGCTACAGTGAGTTATCGTAACATAGTCTGCAAAATAATCCTTTTAATGTCTCTTGATAGTGTTTATGCAAATTTAACATTGTTCAATAAAAAAATCAAAAACTTCTCAGAAGAAAGTGCTTTGTGAATGACACACTTCAAGAACATGGTTCACATAAGTTGGTGACCTAACTGAACATTAATTAGAATGTGAAGTCTTCCTGACTAAGCAGCAAAACATAATTTTTTTTTGAAGAAACTAAAGAGTTAATTTAATACTATACTGTTGGACTTCTGTCCACAACCATGACATAGAAAAATTTGCAATAATCCTACCATGTAATGCTCAGGGACTTCCGAGGGATAGCGCGCTTCTCTTCCAAACATGAGGAAGTATGGGGAATACTGTGTCGTAATTTGCTTTTTGGTGCGTATCCCAAACATCACAGCATCCAAATATTCATCCCACGTGTGTGGATGGCCATCCACAACCTTACTCAGAGCTCTGAGATATGTGAAAGGTATAATACGTCACACATAAAACAAGATGTCTTATAATTTGCCTTATTATGAAAGTAGTTTATCAAATACACATTTTGTTTTGTGATCTTTCTTTGAACCTGTATGCATTGGACACAGTACTCACCTTTGAATGGTCCCATTCATTTTCTCAACCAACCCATTTGTTTGGGGATGGTATGGGGAACACAAACTTCTTTTTATATTGAGAATTTTGCACACTTCTTGGTTTATCTGAAAATATAGTTTAAAAAAATAACTAAGACAAAACAGCCAGTAAATTTAAACAAAATAGCGTACAAGAAGAACTTTAAAACTGTTAAATTTCTGTAAGAGATTGAAAACAAATACTTACAGAATTTACAAATTCTCTCCCTTGGTCAGTCAAAATCCTTTTTGGTGCTTCAAACTGATGCACAAACTTAATTATGCATTCAGTGACTTCAGGTGCTGTTTTTGACTTCAAGGGATATGCCTGTGGCCACTTTGTGAAATAGTCGATCATGACACAGATGTACTTGTGTCCACATTTTGTTTCGGCCAGTTTTCCAATTAGGTCCATCCCAATTAATTCAAATGGATGGGAAACCTTAAATGAAAGACTTCATAGATTAATAAATAAAGAATAATAGACCACAGTAAAATGTTTGCAGGCATTATTTGGTTAAGGTAAAATAGTAACTTTTCAATATATTTTTACATGTTTATAAAAGCAATGTAATAAAAATACATTGCTAAATGTCATACATCCAACTTTTTCCAAATTTAGGCCCTTAATGAGAACACAGGCAAAGAGGACAACCAACCACTGATGCACACTATCATGTATTTTCAATGAATATGTTTCTTTTTCCTAAGAATTATTTTACCTTTATGGGAGTGTACACTGACGGTTGTTTCAGTGCTTGGGCACTCGCCTGACAGGATGAGCACTCAGAGACCTATGAAGTTAATTAAATAGACCAAAAAGAATTTTGCACATGCAAAGTTGACATTATTGTACAATTACCGATTCATATTGTTAATATGAATAAGGCTTACACATTTATTTGCCCAAAATGTAAATGTTTTAGTTGGTATTACTAGAGAAAATTCTTTACTTAATCCTATGCTTTATGTAACATACCCATTTCTTGATGTCCACAGACATTCCTGGCCAATAAAATCTCTTGGAGATGGCATCAGTTGTTTTTATTTGTCCACAATGTGCACCAGCAGGGCTGGCATGGAAGTCAACAAATATTCTTCCAGCTTCTTCAGCTCCTTTGACAACTTTGACCGTTGTCGAGGAATGACTGCCTTTTTGTCGAATATAGAAAAGCTCATTTCCTTGGAAAAGATAGAGTACACCAATAAAAATCAGACTGAAGCATGAAATTATATTGTCACAAAACATTTATAATTATGAAAATATGAAAATGCAAACTACTGCCTGAGTTACACGTAGAGGTTGAAACAAGAAACATGAAATAAACACAAAATGAAATAAGATGTAGTTGCTTCATTTTTTTAAGGTAAAAAATTTTGAAAAATAAACTAAACACTGCTAATGGGAAGTAATGTCTTTGAATTTGTTTACGTTATGTTTTTTGTTCACAATTGTCCACTTTGTTGGTTTTTATGTCTTTTATTCATTAATTTATTAGTACGGCAAACTTTTATACTACAGAAATTAAAAGTAGAAATGGAGTACAAGTGTAATTCACATTTATAGCAACTGCAGATAAGAGGATTGTACGTAATTACTACGTTATAACTTGGAGCGTTCGTGTGGACACATATCAATCTACATTAAATGCATTATTAAATTTTAAGAACATATTGAGTGTTATGTAACTGTCTTAAGATAACATTCCACTATTAAATACATATTAATGTCGAGCTTATCTTCAAGACAATTTTATTCAAGATAAAAACAATTACCTTCAATCTTGTAAGACGAGGCTTTCCTTCGAATGACATTTTTTTTTTGCTTTGTCGACTGTGGTGGATATTCGCCTTTAACCTTATAGTTAAAGAGTGTTTTATATTCCACACTGTCCATATTTACGAAAATTGTCGACTTAAAGAAATACTTGGCTTAAAATTAAGCAAAACGTGATAAGCTATCCGATGAAAACAGAGAGCACCTGCACATTTGCATAATTGATTGCAGGAAGAAGATCACGTGATTTTGACTTTCCATAAAACACGTTATTTGTTATATTGTAAGATAGATTATCTTCTACAATATTTGTAAATTGGTAGAGAGACATTTAAAGAGAAAAAATAATTTAATAAATAACATCAAAACAACACTCATATTTATTTGAACTATTTTGGATGTTAAAAAGTAAATAATAACTTTTTATTTTTATGTATAGAAGGAATGACCAACTGTATCAAAAATACATTGGTCAATGGACCAATGGATTTAATGATTTATTACCTTGTTATATGGGGGAACGGATTATTTCAGATGACTAAAATGTATGGTTAGTCCTCATAACTCTTGCAAATAGTGATGAAATGTTTTCAAACTTGCTGTTTGCAAACAGCCAGTTTGCTGTTGATGATTACTGTTGATAAATAAATTTGTTTCCATGTTTTTGAGGGGGAACGGATAATTTCAGTCAAGTAAAACAGCTGAAATATATGGTTCCCCCCTCATAACTCTGGCTAACAAGGAGCAAATGATACCAAATTCACAGGATTTATTGTTGATGATGAGAGGAATAAGTAGATAAAAAATCTTGCTGGTAAATGCAGTTGTTCCCATTTTATGGAGGGGGAACAGAATATTTTAGCCAGCTGAAATATATGGTTCCCCCCTCATAACTCTGGCAAAATAAGAGCAAATGATACCAAATTCACAGGATTTATTGTTGATGATGAGAGGAATAAGCAGAGAAAAAATCTTGCTGGTAAGTGCAGTTGTTCCCATTTTATGGAGGGGGAACAGAATATTTTAGCCAGCAGAAATATATGGTTCCCCCCCATAATTCTGGCAAAGTAGGAGCAAATGCTACCAAAATCACAGGATTTATTGTTGATGATGAGAGGAATAAGCACAGTTAAGCATTTGCAGGTAAAATAATTTGTTCCCATTTTATGGAGGGGGAACAGAATATTTCAGGCTGCTGAATCATCCATTTTCCTCTCCTTACTCCATAACCTTGGGGAATAAAGAACAACTGTTTCCAAATTCACAAAAACCTTTACATACACACTACGTGTTGGGAAAACTGTGTTTGGTGACTGACTTTTATTTCTGCCAGACTTACGTGAGAAAAGGGCGTTTCTCTTGGTGTTTACAATAACACAAAACAGCGTCAGAAGACCTCGTTTATTTATTTATTTTACAATTTTTTTAAACAACAGCTGGAAATTAAACTGAGTGTTACAACATTGACATAGTTGTATTAGTTTTTTTTTTTTTTTTTTTTTTTTACCGAGAAATCGATTAGAAGCGACGTGAAAATGATCAGATCCGCCTCTTTCGCCTCTCTGGCTGTAATGCGCGCTCCCGACGCAGGGGGAACAGATTTTCACAGGGGAACCGAATTTCGCACAAGACCTCCACCAACCGGTAAGGAGTGTCGACAAAAAAAAACTCTTATCATACAACTTACACTATTTCAAAAAATCAAATCTAACCTGATATCCTCTGCTTCCTCAATTCTTTTGCAATAAATCAACAATGTCAAATTTAATTTTTGTATTACTGAGCTTCTTAATAAACTTGTTTCTCAGAATCCGGTCTTTTCTGCAATGCAAAAATAATATGTTTCATTTTCTCATCTTCCTCACAACCACATTTCCCTGTTTGATGTTTTTCTATCAAAAATAATGCGCTATTCAATCCACTGTGTCCGATTCTAAGTCTGACATAATTATCTCTTCTCTCCTGTTTCTTTGTGTTCTCCTCATTTGTCCCATTCTCGTTTGGATTTTATGAAACCATCTCATTCTTCTTTGTAAAAAAATATATTCTTCTTCTTGTTGATTTTAATTGTGTTTGGTAAGCAACATTTTGGTGCTTACCAGTCACAGATGATTGGTTTTCATTGTAATAATGATCCAGCAAGTCTACAAGAAAGCATTTAATACTTCATTAAATTATTGTGGTCTGAAGATGCTGTTGTACTTCCCTCCAGCAGATGGCGATGATGAGCACACGCATTTCTCCATTGCCTCTCCTTGAACCAGAGCGCAGGCTTCCTGTGTGGGTTAGCAGCTTTTACTTTCCTCCATTACATCTTCCGTGGTGAATATTAGTGTTTCTGCAGCAGCAATGTCTTCATTTCAGTCTCTGAGAGACTTTATCAGGGAGCGACTGACCGCCGCTGCCGAGGAAATATTCACGGAGTTTGATAAAACCATCGTGCGGTTCGAGGAAGAGCTGAGTCATCATCGGAGGCTGCTGGAAATCTGCTGGAACCCCAGAATAAAGCTACACAGAATAGGTATGATTAAAAATCGTCATGTTTTAAACTTAGCGTACACGTTTACAGAAATGAACAGGTCTAAAATATTAAGACTTAAAGTCGTTTATGAACATTTGAGTTAAAAAAAATGCAGCACTTTTGTGTTTTGTAGGACGTTTTGTTTATTTACTACATCATAAATTATGATGTGGAAGAGAATTTTCAAAATGTAAACAAAAATCTGAAAAATGTGGCATGCATCGGTAACCAGCCCACTTGAACACATGATTTATTGAACCTTTGCTGCAATAACATCTCAGACTCTGCAGCAGTACGTCTCTATCAGCTTTGCGCTTCTGAAGTTTGACGTTTTTCTCATTCTTTTTTGCAAATAACTGAACTAATTGACCTGAAAGCAGAGGATCAAAGCATATACATTTGTTCTGGTCTCATCTGACTAGAACATCTTCTTCTATATGTTTGGTAAAGCACCTGAAATAAAAAAAAAAAACTGAAGTATTTTTGCTTTCTACTTGCATTAATCCAAAATGTTTTTCTTTCTTTTGCCTGTCCAGACCTCACAAAGCCTTGTGTTTGGAAGGAGGATGACGTTCTCACTGACCATCAGCTCTCCAGTCCAGAGATGAACTCCAGATTGGACCTGATGCAACCTTTATCTATCCATGAGGAACTGGGGAAACCAGATGCTCAACAGATGAAAGAAAACCAAGAACTCGAACCACCACAAATTAAAGAAGAACAGCAGAAATCGATGATAAAGGATGAACAGGAGGAACTCTATATCAGTCTGGAGAAAGAGCAGCTTGAACAGCGTTGGCCAACTGATTCCTTCACAGGAGTCACTGTTCATGAGAAAACAGAGAAGAGGAAACCAGAGTCATACAAGGACCAACTCACCATCCAGACTTCCGCAAAGCATGAGAAACAAAACCAGGGAAGGAGCAACAATGAAGAATCTCGATCAAGCAGAGCTGAGGAACCAGAAGAAAAGAGTTTTCAGCATTTGAGAGCTGAAACTGGGAATGTTGTCAGTCCAGAAGCAGAATGGCATGAGATAATGCACACAAATTGCAATATTTCAGCTTGTAATGTTTGTGGTAAAGTTTTTGCTCCTAATTATTTGATTGATCACATGAGAATTCACACAGGTAAGAGGCCCTTCTCGTGTCTGACTTGTGGAAAAAGCTTTACAACGGCGGCTACATTGAAGGTTCACATGAGAATTCACACAGGTGAGAAGCCTTTCTCATGTATGACTTGTGGAAAACATTTCAGTGATAAAGCCTGTTTATCTCGGCACATAAGAACTCATACAGGTGAAAAGCCTTTTTCATGCTTGATCTGTGGAAAAGGATTTCTACAAAGAAGTAATTTCACTGAACACATGAAAACTCACACGGGTGAGAAACCTTTCTCATGTCTGACTTGTGGAAAAAAATTCAGCTCAAAAGCTAGTTTATCTCGGCACATTAGAACTCATACCGGCGAGAGGCCGTTCTCATGTTTGACTTGTGGAAAACGTTTTGGCGATAGAGGATGTTTATCTCGGCACAAAAAAATTCATACAGGTGAGAGGCCTTTTTCCTGTGGGACTTGTGGAAGACGATTTATTCGAAAAAGTCATTTGACTACTCATATGACAACACACCGAGGTGAGCAGGTACGAGTTTATGATACTTCATTCATGGAAGGGAATTTGCCAGGAGGGAAATTGAATGTCTAACAAAACCATTTAATAGGTCTTATTTTTATCATCACCAAAATTTTCTATCATTGTATGTAATGGTGTTTTGTTCATTCATATCTGTGTGTAAACTATATTTTCGACAGACTGAATGAAAAATTAATGCAGCAGTGCCAAGTGCACTGTCATGTCCAATCAAGAATTATTCCGGTTTCTAGAAGTGATAGTTTCCAATGCAGCGTCATTATTGACTGTAGTGTAAATATAAAAGAGATTTTCTTTCTTTTCTTTTTTTTTCTTCCAAAAAAACATTAAAGCTCACAATTTCTCTTAAAGAACTGAAAAAGTCCAGTCCTCAAGGGCTGTTGTCCTGCAACTTTTAGATATCGCTCTGCTTCAGCACACCTGGCTCCAATATTAGCTCATTAGCATAGCTCTGTAGTACATGACTCCATGCTGGACAGGCAATCTCACCGCTCTGGCCCTGGAGGACTGTAGTTTGAAAGCACTGATCTAAATCTTAACATATGTAAACCTCCTCTATTGATTTATGGTTCTACTTTACTCTTGTTCCCTTCTGAAAGCAGTGAAGACAAAAACATTTTAATGACCCTTCCTTGTACTTTTAAACTCCAATCTATAGTTTTTAACACATTTACCACAAAACAATTTATTGCATGTTTTTTTTTTTTTTTATTTCAAACTAATTACCCATAAAAATCCTTTATCATTGAAAATCAAAACTTGTGTTATCCTTCATCTTGGATGTAGATAAGAGCTTTTACATGAAGTATAGCTACACTGGCAACCCCAAAAAAAATTCACATGACTATTTTGATTAAACAATTGCAGTGTTTTGTTATTGTGAGATCTCATGCGAATCAGAAACATCTTTACACCTTGTCATCTCTCCTACTCTCTATTCTTGTTCATTTTTTCTGTAGTTCTGAACAGAAAATAGGGAAGTAGTTACTACTTTTCCAGTTCCTGACTAACATGCTGTCACCAGCTTGGGGCCTTCAATTATTCCTTTCATCAGTAAATTAAACCCAAGTTCAGTTAACTTCAGGTCCAAGATGTGCTGGCACACAAACACCAGACTGAGCTCTAGATGTCTGTGGCAAAATGGTTGGAAATAACTCTCTCACCATAGACAATATGTGAAAAGCAATGATTCAGTATTTGTGAACTGGAAGTGTAGACAGATACTGACATCTAGTGGAAAGAAGTCAAATTACATCTGAAATTTGTGCATCTCGATGGCATATACAATATTTTTTAATTGATGGTCAAATTCCTATTCTTATGTATTTTCTGATTCTAATGCAATTAATCTTGTTTGTATTTTCCTGTAAAAAACTTTAAATTGTGCATTAAAGGTGTTCCAAAAATAAACGGGTCTTGAATCTATAATATTTCTCTGTTTCATAGTTAATTGCAAGGAAACTCAATGTTAAGACAATATATGTAAAAGAGGACCCAACAATCTAGGGACCCTTCCAAGATGTTTGGTTTGTGTTTGAGACAGCAGCTCTAATAAGGATGGAGCTATGAGAAATCGGAGTTTTCATTGGGAGTGACCAGGATTAGAAATTACAACATTTTAATTTGATCAGTTTGGACACAAAGTTAGATAAACATGACTTGGACATCTGCAGAGGAAGAACAGTGGACCATGTTAACCATAGAGCTGCTGGGCAGGAGGACAAAGAACAAAATAGAGAAGGTTAATTGGCGGAGTACAGGAGAACATGCAAGAGTCTGCCTCTGCGAACCTTTGGGACTCTTGGCGCATCAATACAATTGATGTATTTTTTTTCTCCTTTGTTTAATCTCAACCACAATAATCACAAGTATGGCTACTGTGCGTGTTCTATAAAGTCAATATAGGGCTTATTCTGTTCTCCAGTTGAATTTAAAATGCATCAGCGAAATGCATGTTTAGCTGTTTGCTAGTTTTGGTCTAAATGGAAACAGATTTGCAGTTTGTCTGTTTTGGCATTTTATGCTTGGAGGTTTTGAACAGGACTGCTAATAAACTTGCTAAAATGAAAAAGAGAAAATCTCAACCACAATAATCACAACTATACCTACTGTGCTTGTTCTATTCTTTTAAGTGCTTAGGCCCTTACCACAGTCTTATTGGGATAAGTTCTGTTTTGTTTTTTGACCTCTTTGTAAATGTACTCTTTCTATGATAACTCATTCCTCACACTTCCCTGGTTGAATTAGGTTTTACTTTCAGCCTTATATTCAAGTGTACTGCCATTTTTGCTCTTTACTTCATGAACTTGTCTGATGAGTCTTAAAATTCACAAATTGTGCAGGAATCCACATTAAATTCAGTTCTTTTCTGAATCCGGTGATAGTTAACATAACATCTTGCCTCGTATCCGAATACACATGACGGATAGTTATTTAAAAAAAAGATTAAACATATCACCTTATCTCTAATTTAGTTATTTAAATTGCCAAACATTCTGGATAAACATCTACTTTATCATGAATTATGATGAATCTGACTTAGCTTGAGCGATTGTACAGAAAAGACGTCTGAGTCTCTGAATAAATGAATAAATGCAAAGCTCCTGTAGGAGTTAAAGTGAAAATAAAATATGACCATGAGAGGAGGAGATGGCTGGAATGAAATAGATGTTCAACCAAGAAAATGTTAGGCATCATCACACCTCCTGACTACGCTTTTAGGTCAGGGTTCGTTCATCAAATATTTCCTCTCCACCATTGGGAGTAGACTTCTACTTACATTTGTCTAATTTAGCCATGGTTAGTGAATGACAACAAAAAACACCTACTGAGGAAAAAAAGTGTTTCTTCAGTGAATGAACAATTCTTTTTTTTCCCCACAAAGCAGGAAGTAACACCAAAAGACTTGCAGATATATTTGCTGTATGAGATGGTTTCTATTAAGTTTTGACTCAGGGGGCTGAACACATCATTAAGTTTGTTCGTTTCTACTGGTCCAAAATATTTGAAAACCATGCATTTACTTGTCACTTCACCATTATGCACTACTTTGTGGTTGTTTATCATTGAAATGCAAATAAACTTCCCTGAAATTTGAGGTTTTAACATGACAAAGTAAAAAGGAGAGGAACTTCTGCAAGGCACTGTATGCTGCTTCTCACATCTTATCTATGCCACCAAACCCAAAAGCTTGCAGACTAAAAAAGTGTGTGGCATGAAGCTAGAAGTGTTCAGCCTGTGTGTGTGTGTGTGTGTGTGTGTGTGTGTGATGAGGGGCTCCAACTCCCTCCACAGTCTATGGAACCTGATACTTGATGACTCCTCATCACAAGAATGTGAGTTTCCTTCTCTTGGAGCATCTGGCCTGATGCCCGGCCACATCTCCATCTTTCTGTGTGTGCTTGAGAGTATTACTTGTTACAATTTGCCCCCCTTTAATGAGTGGCCTCTTTGTGCACAGTGAGACATTCTTTCTATGATGGTTGTGCTGTCACATTTTGGAGGAAAACAACAACCTCTTAATGTTTGTTTTTAGCAAACTTATATTGGTGCTGAAAGAAAGAGCTCCATTACCTCTTCACTTTTGTGATTATAAAATCCAGGTCCATTATTTGGTTTCTCGTCTGCCTGGTACACGAAGCTGAGTGCTGTTCATGTAAATCACCCTGGTTGGATGTTTAGCAGTGAAACACTGACGTTTATGTTGTTATATAAAGGCCTGAAGATTATTTTTGTGCATAAAACGGTAACACTGAACTCATGTGCATGTGGTCAGTCTGGCCATTGACCTTATATGCAATTCTGCTTGATTCTCATCTCCCTTCAGTGCTCAATCTGGGATTTGTCCCATTGAGCTCCATTTCTCAGGATGCATGCCATCCTGGCCAATCACCAAATGGAAAGAGAAGTTGTGAACAATGATGTTGACTTTCTGAGCTGTTTTAGAATATTCTCTTCCATGGTTTTAGCTTGACAATAGTAGCAGGTGAAATGAATGAGTCTGTGTTTGCCACGTATACCAATCTATTGAAGTTGGAGCAAGAGAAATGTTTAAGATACTTTATTGCTGCCAAAGATGTTGTGGTCCTCCAGTTTCTCTTTGTTTGAGTGAGAAAAGGGCTATATGTTGGGAAATCAATGCAGCCTTATAAGACAAAAGAAGAGCATTTTATGATCAGAAAAAAAGATCATTTTACCTGCAGTCAAAAACAAACTCAAAAAAGAGTTTGTTTGGTGGTTGTAATGTGACATTATGGGACTGCTATGCTGATTAAAATCCTGTTTTTTGCCAGGGGAATGTATCCTGACCAATTCATAGTCTTAATCTAACTTGGGATATGCAGCTGGACAGTGATCTGAAGGACACCATCATAGTCGACCTCTGAATGATTCAAAAAATAAATAAAAAACTCACTACCATAATTATTGCAAACACTTCATGGCAATTGTTGCTTCAAATGACAACAAAAGTGGGCATTACTTTCCACATACGGCTATTTTGGTATGATTCCTTTCATAAATTTCATAAATGAAATAGTTTTTTTTTCAAAACTGCATTTTGCAGCCACTCACCTGATTTTTGTATGATATCAACATTTGTTTCAACGACAAAAAAGAGGAAAAACGTTTCTCCAGTACTGTAAAACGTCTGCAAACTTTTTTGATTTTGATTTGTTTACACCGATACCTCTGACCTGATACTTCAACAACTTTACCGCATCCGGCTCTCCATCGTTTTAATGACTCAACAGCCATTTATTTTTCATGTTTATGTACAAGATTCCTCCGTGTCCTGTGTGTATGAGTTTCAGAGAGTCGGAGAAAGCAGCAGGTATAATTGAAAACAAAGGGCTTCTTGTTCACAGCAGTAATTCATCCTCATTATGTTCATCATTTGTTTACACTGTTAACCCCCTCACTTCCTCCATCCCTCACTGTGGTGACATGTTCATTTAGCGCAAAGTCTGTAATCAATGTTTACACCTTTCCTGCCCTTCACTCACGACACGATGTGCGGCTCTAACCTGCTGCTGTAAATTACCCTCTAGCAGAGGGAGCTGCTTAATTCATACAGATCCAAACCTAAAGATAAACCCATCTGAGATCTCAGTGAGGAGGCTGTAACTGGAGTTAATGTTGGGAACCAGGATGGATGAGGTGAGTTTGATCATGATAACTTCCACGCAGGGAAGGAGCAGGCGAAGGCCAATCTGAGAGGTTAATGTTTGAGGTGAGCTCTTGGTTTACAAAGAGACAGTCCTGAAAAATATTTCAGACATAAAAAAATAAGGGCAGAAGGCAGAGAGAGAGATCAAGTGAGCGGCAAAGAGAGAGGAAGAGAGAGAGCAGGAGACAGAAAGTAATTGGTGCTATGATGGCTTCCAGCTGCATGGCACATAGCCAAACCAAGTTTTCATGCTGTGCACATACACCTACGGTCACACTGCAGCATGAAAACACAATCTTTGCTTTTCCTGAACATGTCAGTGAGCTAAACTGTTCTTGTTGGTTTTAATCTGGAAAAAAAAAACCCAAACAAGATTAAAATACTATGGGTTAAATACAAGGTAATACTAAGTGTCACTTAATAGAGGTTGGTTTTCATCCCATAAATTACAATTTTTAATACATCTCATCATATATAATCATGATGTGAATATAACATGTGCTTTCATGCAGGATTGAGAAATAGATTTTTTTTTCATCTGGATACATTTCTCTAACAGAATATGTTTAGATATTATCAAATTAACCAGTAATCCAGAGCAGATGAGACTGAGGACCACAGCGATGCATGGCTGAGATCTAATGGTTGTTGACATGGGCATGCACAGCTGAGCTGGTATGAGATTCTCTCAGTATGCTAACCTGGAGTGTAAACACCTCATCGTTGCACTGTATTTACACAAAATCTTCCTGCATCTGTTGTAGGGTTGCCACTCGTCCCGTAAAATACAAAATCGTCCCAAATTTGGCTGTTACATGTCGAGTCCCGTATTGAAACTATACAGACCGTGATTTGTTCCGTATTTCCATAAATGTCCTTGACCCTACACCCGGGTCCTTGGAATCAGAAATTTCTGCAAAAATTCATACAGAAAGGGCCTGTGCACATATGGGTTTTCGCTGGGTTCAAAAACATGGCTGAAGAGTTACTTGGTCTCTCTAACATGGTTGGACCAGAGTGCAACTATGGTTTCACTAGATTCATTTTCACACACACCAGTGTAGGTCATGGTGTTTTCCCACAGCGGTTTACAACAGCATAGTAAGCACAGAGATCATGGCAGAGAGGAATGACTGTTATGAGTTCACAAGTTCAGAGCAGGACAAAATACTAATTGGCAAGCTGTTATATCTCATTTTATTTGCCTTGCAACAAGAAACAAAGAAGAAAAGGTGTT